GTGTGTGTGTGTGTGTGTGTGTGTGTTCATTTTAATCGCCTCAGCAAATATCTCGAAAAATATGGAAGATACAAAAAAATGTTTCAGACAAAAATTGTATGGTTTCGAGGGGGACATAAGATGGTATCATTGGTTTGATCTTGGGTGGCGTTGTCAAGATCAGACGAGGTCACATTACATTTTTTAAATGAAACCCCATTTTTTATTACATATTTTTGTAGCTTACTTCAAGAGCTCTTTCCAAAACACTATAATAAAATATTTTTTCATTAAGTACTTTTCGAGTTATGAGGCTTGAAAGTCATAGTATGTGCCGGCATTAGCATTACCCAAGATGTACGGGCCAGTGAAGGCAAAACCCGAGGTGGATAAACGTGATTGGCATATAAAATTCTACATATAGTTGCAGGAGACACATTAATTCACGACCCAAGGTCAAACCAATGATACCATCTTATGTCCCCCTCGAAACCATATAACTCTTGTCTGAAACATTTTTTTGTATCTTCCATATTTTTCGAGATATTTGCATGGGGCGATTAAAATGACACTGTGTTTGTGTGTGTGCGTGTGTGTGTATATATATATATATATACATACAGGATGTCCCGACCTTTTTCGCCAATCATTTTTGTGTAGATAGAGCAGACTAAACTGAGTCGAAATATCCTCTACCATTTTGCAATTTTCGCAATAGTTAACAAGATATTAATTACTAAAAATTGCAAAATATTGATCTTGAATAATTTTTTACTCAAATACTATCAACTTTACAGAAAAACTGCAAGAGACAAAAATTATTTATTTTCTTCTAATAAAGTTCTGAGAATTTTTTTAGAATTTTTTATCAACTTTTTAGTACTGCATTTTCTTATTTTTACCAACATAAGAAAATACGGCATTAAAAAATTCTGAAAAAATTCTGAAAAATTCTCAGAACTTTATTAGAAGAAAATAAATAATTTTTGTCTCTTGCAGTTTTTCTGTAAAGTTGATAGTATTTGAGTAAAAAATTATTCAAGATCAATATTTTGCAATTTTTAGTAATTAATATCTTGTTAACTAATTACAAAATGGTAGAGGGCTTTTCGACTCAGTTTAGTCCATTCTATCTACACAAAAGTGATTGGCAAAAAAGGTCGGGACACTCTGTATATATATATCTTTATATACATATAAATATATACATATTGTACAATAAAATCTTGTAGCGGTTGAGCTTATGCCAGAATAGAAGAGGACGAATATATTCGCTCGTTTACGCAATACACACACACACACACGAAGGCTGTGTTTCAAAATTTACTGTCAGTACTGAAAATCTATAAAACACATGACGCAAACTATAGATTTTCAATACAACAGTAAATTTTGAAATAATCTAAATATATATATATATATATATATGCCCGTATTTTTAGAACGCGCTTTTACCAACAAAAGCGCGCTTTTATTTCTGAAATTCTATGGTATATATAACGCGAATTATATGACTATGCTAAATACACGCCAACATCATTATAACCGCGTTCCGAATACTTGCCATAATATATATATGTATATATTTCGAATATCATATTTCGTTGATTTTTTTTTCAAGGCATGAATCGACGCCGAAGAATATGTACACGAAAAGTCGATCAACGTCTTCCTTACAGTCGTTTTCTCGCGACATATAATCGAAAACCGCGGTACAAATTCATTAAATTTGCACGATACTGTATTTACGTACAAGTCGAGACGGCAGTTTTAGTCGAGAGGATATGGATATGTATATGTATACATACACCATCTATACAGAGAACATACGGAACATACATCTGTATATTATTATTAATATAAATACGAAATAACGATAAGCGCGCAAATGACAATTAACGAGTTAAGAAGTAGGTAACCGATTGCACATGAATTGTTGCAAAAGTGTTCCAATTCGAACGTGTATCTAGAATATTAAATCTTTTTTAAATCCCAAGAAGAATCATATGAATAGAAGTCACATACGAATCACCATCAAAACTACATTGCAATATCACATATCAAAAATGTTTTTAATTCATTTCGAAAAAATTTTATTCTCTCGTTTGTCCGACTAGGATGCATGTTCTACACATAAAGCGAACTTGTAAGTAATCATATTTGATTTTTATCTCACGTGTTTATCTTTCTACTTTATGAGAAAGTTTGCATGACACATGTATTGAATCCGATAAACTGGCAAGTTTTTGCATCAGTAGTCGCACTACTTTCTCAAGCATTCCACTGCGCTTTTAGAAACGAGTATGCGATCGGTAGATTGTGTGAGAAGGGTAGTTATTGATTTATAATTGATGAAAAAGAAAAAGATTCCATTGCTCATAATAATGCGATGAAAGATATCACCAGAAGCATTTAACTTTTTTTTATCGATAAAGCATCGATGACGAAAAAAATAACACGTTAACAATGTGTTTCCTTTCCGTTACATTCTTCCATGAGAAGAACTAACTTTTGCTTGTACAATGGGAACACCTGATACACACGTGTACATCGAAAAAATGTATCACATTGTCAATTTTTCATAACGTGTCATACACAAAGTATCACACTTATTTTCTTTTTAAAGATCATACATGCCATTACGTGATCAAGATAATATCACTACGAAGTACGGCACAACAATCAATTATGATAATTTAGGAATCCAGAATACCAGAAATGGTCCGGATAATTATCATCAAATGATAATTATTCGGACCATTTCTGCTAAAAGTCTGCTTGTTTCACAACTGACTGCTTTAATCTTTATTGAATTGCAAAACAGAATTGGATTTGTGTTGTAATAATATTTTTGAAAATTCTATTAGTCACTTAAGTTAATTAACTTATAAAAATGTGATACATGAAACCATATTGTACATTTATACATTTAACTGAAAATTATCCGGTTAGTTTTTCATGATTGTTTATATATATATGTACATAAACAGTATACATATTTTATATATAATATATTGTATAATTTATATACAGGGTGTTTGGTTAAAACCATAATAACCGCTTAAGAGTTGATTCCTGAAATAATTTTAAAACGAAAATTTAACACCAAAATATCGAGGCTATAAGTTTTTTAATTGTAAGCTAACTTAAAATTAGCAAATCATACCGCATAAAATTTGCGCTTAAATGCGGTTGGATTTTTTCCATTGAATCACATCTAAATGCATGAATTTTAAGTGGTATGATTTTATAACTTTAAGTGCTTACAATTTAAAAATTATTATAGCCTCAACATTTTAATATTAGAATTTTTATCTCAAAATGCTATCAAGAGTCTATCCTTAAGCGTTGTTACGGTTTTTACCGAACATCCTGTATAATGTGTATACTATATGTATACTTACGTACATATAACAAATTAATCACACATTAAGCTTTGTCATAATATTAATGTTTCAACGATTTGTGCCAGGCGAGAAGAAGATGAAAATTCACTTGTTTTCATGAACTTGCCTGTTTTTTGTACATCAGCTATAATAAAATCAATGGTATAATCTTGTATATATTATATTGTAATAAAGAAATTGCATTGACAATAATTATATGTACGTCTCAATATAGCCTGAAGTCTCTCTGCCTCGTTGTCCGTAGAACTGTGTACGCTCTCTCTCTCTCTCTATCGATAAATATATATGCGGTTTACAATCTATTTTATTTGATATTTCGTTACGTGTATGTTTCCTCTCATCCCACAGATCGGCAAGCATAATATATGTACATTATACATAGATCACCATTTACGAGCACGCTTTCGTAATATAATAGCGTTTTCGGCCCGATCGGGTTTGCACCAACCTGGGTTGGATTAATCTTTCCTATTGGTTGATGTCACACGCTCTACCAATAGGGGAGCGCAAAACGTCATTAATCCAACCCAGGTTGGTGCAAACCCGGTCGGGCCGAAAACGCTATAAGCTATTATCTCGTTCGTATTCGAAAAATTCATAAAATCTTATAATTGACTGTAATCGTAGAAATATTTCACGTAAATTTTGCGATACGATAAATCAAAGCAATGCATCACAAAATACAATACAATATCGCAGCTTTCTTTTAAATCTTTCTTTTCAAAGAGATTATATCTTTCGAAAAAAATTATTTTACACACAAGTTATAAATATTTTACAGCGTATATGTATTTACAGAGATTGGAACTGACATTCAGGTTCCTTCATTTATTATACATAATTATTGACATTATTACTTTTACACGGAAACAAGTATTCCGTTGAGTTAAACGCTGCGTATTAAGACCATAATTAGAATTCCCGTATCAATACAAGCGTATTATATGCAGACATATATACAATGTTACAGAAGTTACGACCCAGATCATTATCGCATTATGCTTGCACTGTATTTATATAAACGCAAACACCTAACTACTTTCGTTAACATAATCTTTCGGATAAATCCTCAAAATTCTGTACATATATAAATACAAATATATATGCAATTATACACACATACGCACGCACACACATACTATTTTCTACAGAGCATAAATCCCATTAAACGCGGTGTCACCTATCATTGAGATTAAAAAGGAAATGCAGCAAGATACTCTTTGGAATCCGACGTAGCAGTTTTATGTCTAGATATAACAGCAAAGATGTTTAGTCAACAGCGACAAGAAGCACTTTATTGTATTAATCATAATTTGTATTCGCGGGCACGTTTGTCGCAAGCTACGTTTGGAATGTATATTTAATCTTTATTCCACGACATGTATATTATTTCTACAGCATATTTTAAGCATATTCTACGTATACATATGCACACGTCTGCAGCCTGAATCGTTAGTTATTGATCTTTGGTAAAATCATTTTTCATCATTCATAATCTAAGATATAAATTTCAATTGTTATTTGTTCATTTCTACCTGTTCTAAAATAATTTGATAAAATCACTTTTCGTCGTTTATAA